ATAAAGCCTGCAGACGTGTACAGGGAGGCAATGCGCAAGTTTGGCGACCAAATTAGTCCCGAGGAATTCTTTAAGGATAAGTACGAGTTATGGATCGACATGCGCACCACCAACGACGAAACCATGCACGGTCAGGGCCTGCGGCTGGTCAACACCCAGGATGGTATTACTTTGGAGATCAAGCGCACAAAGAATGCTGCTGCGGGCGACGGCGACAAGATAAACTGCTACATCTTCGTCGTGTCTGACGCGCAGCTAAGCGTTGAAATGAACCAAATGAGGAGCGTCGCATACTAAAACATAAAAATATCTGCTTGATATACCATGTTACGAGTCTTTGAAAACAATGATATCAAACTGCAATGCATAGCGCAAGGCGACCAGCTGTACCTCAAGGCGAAGGAAGTGGCTGCTGCGTTAAATTACGAGCGCACAAAAGATGCAATTAGGGATCACGTTTCTGATAAGTACGAGAAAAGGTTGGATGAAGTAAGGGGGGCTACGAATCACCGCCCCCTTAACATGCAACCACATTCCGTGTTTATTTCCGAGCCTGGCTTGTATCAACTGATATTTAGTTCCAAATTGCCTAAGGCTGTGGAGTTTCAGGATTGGGTCTTCGAAGAGGTCCTCCCCGCACTGCGCAAGACGGGTAAGTACGCGATAGAACAACGTTTCAATGGTCCAAACAATTTGGTGTTTAAGATAGAGAATGAGTTTGACCTGCATAAGAAAGTCGTAGACTACATTCGACGCTTCTACCCGCAAATACTCATATCACCCGGCTTTGGAGAGTTACAGGATTCTGACGGCAAACGCATAAAGTGCTGGCAACAGGGTTACCAACGGGGGCAGCCAGACCTGCTCATCTTGAACGCACACATGCATTACCGGGGATTCTGCGTGGAGTTGAAGACGCCTAAGGGTAACGGCGTCCTGTCAGAGGCTCAGCAGGCGCTCCTGCAGAGATATGAGCAGAATGGTTACAAGGTGCTCGTTAGCAGCAACTACGACGACATTTGCCGCAGCGTCACCGAATACGCGCAGGGGCTACGTCTGCCTTGCATCTGTGGGAAGCGCTTCCGTAATGAGGAGACTTTAAAAACGCATTTAAAGATATTCCATAGAATATATGACGTTTAACGCTGTAAGGCAAATACATTGGCGAGACTTAAAGGAGGGTGAGACAAATGAAATAAAAAACTACGTAGCCTTCGAAGATGTCGATAGGCTACGGTTGCTGCTGTCCCACAAAGAAGTCACGTACAGCCTGTGGGCGCCAGATCGCGTCAGCTACGTGATAGAGGGGCCGGAGTTTATGCATCTGAGGTCGTATGGGAAGAAGGATGGTCGTTGGGCATTTGACGTCGCAAAGTGCGTCCTTCCTTCGCCTCTGTGGTTAAGGGGTAGCGACAGTCTGTAAAGGAGTTGCCTGAGTAGGTTCGCCTGACAACGTAGGCGGCGAAGGTGACTTTTTTTTCGGCATTATGCAGTCGGGGGCGGTCTGGCAGGTGATGCAGTCCATATAAGGAAGGCSGAAAACTATTTCAGCAAGGCGCTTATTCCTATTAAGGAATTACACCTTTTGCCGTTCATTAACAGAAAATGTACATTCATTTGTGCCAATAGTTGTATCAATAACGTGTAATGTACTTTCATCAACACCACAAGTAACATCATTAGCGCGGATCAACTTTCAATAACGACAATTGAATATGCGTGTACATTCATAGGCATCAATGGATAAGCAATAGCGCGTTTGTACATTCATATGCGCGGAATGTATTTTCTTGTGCGCGAAATGCGCGTAAAACAATCATTAGCGTTTTTTAAAAATCAGTTTAATACATATAAAAAACTCAGGAAACTGCCTCCATAATAGCGGCTGCGTAGGAGAATAGCAATTAGCTCACTTAAAGCAGCAATTAAAGCCGACATCAGCCGTCCAGAGATCCAACAACATACGAACTATTGGGCTGAGGCAAGACAACAAGGGATTGCTCTAGGTCTCTACAGAAAGCAGTTGCTAATGGAAGGGTTCCAGAGAAATGTGGCAACCATCACTATCGCTAAATGTGATCAGTGGTTCAGATATATGCAAACGTATTTGCCACGATGTATAAATGGCGAAGAAATTGAAGGCTAAAATAGTTTTTTTAAATCGCTAATGATTGTTTTATTTCTCTTATTGTTCATTCGAATCATGCAAATGTTTGTCGAACCACGCTATAGAATATAACGTTGACCCTCATGATTGTCCAAGCGCGTTATAGATTGTCAATGATTATGCTAATAGCACTAATGAATTTTCACTTTTGGGTAAATGATTGTCCATAAATGCAAATGTCTGTCATTTGGTGTTATTGAAGTTGAATTTCGCGCACAAGAAAATACATTCCGCGCATATGAATGTACAAACGCGCTATTGATTGTCCATTGATGCCTATGAATGTACACGCATATTCAA